CACCAGTTCTATCATCATTTGCTGGCTTCAGTCCGCACAGAACGAACGAAAAACCCAATGAAGTGTCCCAACGTTTTGGTATGCAGTGGACTAGGCATGTTCCTGACACTTCAAACACGTAGGAAATGTTTATGTTTCTATTATTTTCATCCATTTATTATTCCATATAAGCTCAAGCTAGACATGCCAGACAAACTATAAGCGTCGAAGCTCATATTCCCAAACCCCCACCAAAGGCACCTTCTCTGTTATTGATCTTGGGCTTATGGGTATGTCTGGAAAATACTAAACAAATACAGTGCAAAATAATGTATATCACCTGTTTATGTTGTGCATTTCTTACCGTTTAATGTCAGGCCACACTTTCCTTTGTAAATAGATGGTGCTCTTCGAGATAATAACCCGAAGAGGCTTCTGTACTTCGCTAGGATCAGAGGTCACATGCTTCAAGCCTCATCGGATGACATACAGACAGCTATTAAGCTCATAATAAAACGTTTCAAAAGGGAAGGTTCGAACAACCCGCAGATCGCCCATTGGTTGCTAAATATTCTTCAGATGTGTGTGGTTCATTGTACAGAAACGTTTGTGCAGAAATTAAACGATCAGGATGTTTTGCGTCCATTTCGTGAAACCCTATCTCTGGAGAAATACAGGACACTGTACAATGGAGTCGTACGCCTAAAATTGTTTACGTTGTTGAAGGTATGCTTTTCCTTGTTTCCACACCCCTTCTTCTTTTAGTCTTGGCATGAAAAATACCAAGCATTTTTCCCCGAATCTGCATTCACGAAGACCTATGAGAGCGTTTGCTCTGGTAATGAACATACTCGTTTGCAGCCACTCAATCTGCATTGGTTTCCGAACCGAAATATAGTAAGTTATTGCACTATCCTATTCTTTTTATTTAGCGAAACGAAGCATCCGCTAGTAATAGTTTGAGATTAGACAACTGCCACAATTTAAGTAACGAGGTGAATTTTCTAAAATTCTGGCCTTTTGTAGGTTGTCCAAAAGAATTTCTGAACAAAACTGGAGCCGCACCATACCTACATCTCTGCTAATGTTAACTAAACTCATCAAGTCTTCCACCCATACCAGATTCTGGGCCACAGGCCTGACGGTCAGAAGAGCAAAGGCTTGCTGATGACATGTTAGGTCAACCATAGACGGATAACAGACCTTGCAAAATGATTGGAAACAGTGGCTTACTGTAACTACATATGGATAAATGATTATTAACTCCACCGTTGTTGCCCTCGTTTGCGAACACACTGGT